TTTATAAATAACTTACGTAACTTATTTGTACTATCTTGCGCCGCGAAATTATAAAAAGGAGAACACATACCCGACAAAGCCTGCATAGTCGCAGTGCAACGCTGTTGATATACAAATACGTTCCGATAATAACGTTCCAATCTCGATTAATGTCGAAATAAATACATCTAGGAACGAATGAGTGCAGTTTATTGTGAAAAACTCTCCCTGCTCACGTAGTTCAGGACTCATCAGGATTCTCTTCACCAAGGCGTGGCTCGATCGATCACAGCAACTTTCATTGTTGTATTCTAATCTCATCATATATGAGGCGAGGAACTTTTTAACGGCCCTGTACGCACGACTTGCATCGCGTCTGGACGGCATCCGCGAAGGCCGTGTCGTCGGACACGGTTCGCAATAGCGCTACCGCTGAAATCCACTTTTGCAAAAGGATATGGATGCGAGGTGGGATTACATCGATATCGTCGACTCGCTCGTCTAAACGCCTCTGTTCGACCTGGCGAACGTCGCGTTCGTCGTTAATCCAGAAGTTTGGTTGACAGGGACAGCGGCGTGATCTCCCGGGTCTCGATGGTGGTTGTACGCCTCTAGAACGGAAGTAGAGATTTTCGTGAGGAGGAAATAGGAACATTATCGAACGTTACCGACGTTCGAAGTTCGTGTAAGTCGACATATTTCGATAGGCATCCTTCAGATGCGCCTTTAGATATTTATATATCTGTTTTCACTTTTATTTTGCACTTTTTGCGAATGGAACAGTGTGATTACTTTTTATGTTAGTTGCGATCGAGGAATTGTAAATGTATCGATGAAATTTATATCAATTAGTGTTGAAGCTGATGACAGTTACCACGATCGTGTGATGAACGTCGGTTATATGAAGTCGGAGGATTAAAGAGAATCGGCAAGGCTATTACGAAAACAGTGAAAACGGAATCTCTGACGTACGCGACGACCGGAAGTTCCACGGTTGTGTTGATGGGCCTGAGAAGAGGATGGGACTGAAGCTTAGCCTGGAAATACGGGCGACAAACAGCTGTTAACTATGTTAATGAGAAAAGAAAACGAATATGTTAGTATGCAGCCTTTTAAATTTTTAATAGAAAATAGCAGCTTTGGATATTTTTTTAATGCAAGCAGTACAATTTTTTTTCGCTCTTGCTTTCGTAATTGCGAGGCAAAAATATCTGTTACAATTTGCGTTGGACAAGTGCGTTAAAACGTTAACAATACGTGGAGCGTGTGTAATCGAGTTAATATGACAATTACACAAATTTGTCCTGAATCGAATTCTATTTCACGCTCGAACTGACAATGATAATTAAATCTATAATCTCTATTAACGCCGGTTGCAAGGTCAGCACGTCGCGTGTATTGAATATCTGAGTTTCTCGCGCAAAACTTTATCGATTGTATTATTTACGAATTTATAAAATTGGATATTTTTTATATTCCACTACTTGTATTTTGCAGCTGATAATTCACAGGTAAATACGACAAAACAGATGAAATTATCTGTTCGAGATAAATACTCACTTTGTTTTTCTGTCGTATATTGAAAATGCCGTAGATGATCGGATTCATGCTGGAGTTGGTGCACGCAAAGAAGAAGAGTGCTCTCTGAATACGTCGATCGACGTGACGGGCTGATGATGGATCGATCCAATACCTGTTTACATCGGTTCAACAATAACGACTGCGCAATTCGAGTTTCTCGCGTATAGTAGTTCTTATCCTCGATTCGAGGATAAGAAAGTTAAATTCTAGAATATTCCTTTTTTTTGTAGACAGAATTTATATACAAGCGTGGCTATAATTATATCTACGGCCATGAACATTGGTCGCGCAAAAAATCATATCGTCATTCTACTTGTTTTCGCGTCTGCATAAGCGATGATTTTGTTGATTTTGCAATGCGCATACCACTACTATATCGCGAATAACTTTTAGGCGGCGAGAAAAATGCTTCGCAGGGGGAATTAAAAAGTGACCGTTACTCACCAAACGCTCATCACGTAGTAAGGACTCCAGCAGATAATGAAGACGGCGATAATGGTTATCGTCATTTTTAAAGTGCGTACTCGCGCTCGGCTCAAAAAGCCGCTCGAGGAACGACGTAATTTGTCTGGAAAGAGCGTTCATTTAGCTTATCAATTTCTGCTTGAATTATTATCAAATAATAAACACGGCGAAGTTAAAAGACTTGTGAATAAAAAGTGGCAATAATATGATATTAAAATTAATTAGTAATATTAATTAGTAATATTTTATATTGTTGCAGGGCGATAAATTATATGTTGATCGTACCTTCGCTCCTCTCTTGGGATCTACGGCAGATCTCCACGAAAATACTGGTGTATGTGTAGAATATTACAATCAGAGGGACCCAATACATCATCACCATGCCAAACAGATTGTACGAAACCTGGTGTACGTACGATGGAAAAGTATTGATAGCTATACACTGTGTAAACCAAGTAAAATTTGGGTGCGTTTCGACGCGAAATACCAGCATCTGTGAAGAATAGAATGCGTGTTTAATAACATTCACAAAACAGGATCATTTTAGGTCGATTATATATAAGCTATTGTACCTGTGGCAAGGAACAAAGTACGGAGCCGATCCACGCAAGCACCAGCATTATTTTCCCTCTCCTGTAAGCATCCAGTACCTGAAGAGGTCGCATTACAGCGTAATATCTGAAAAGATGCATCAGGTATAAACATATTTTTAAACGCGATTAAATTTCTTATATTTGCAACCATCGCGATTGATTTTATATCAATTTTAATTATTGATAAAAAAATAAATCGGTAGATTTAAAGTTTGAAATAATATAGAAAAATATAAACAAGAAAACATAGAAAAAATATGGAGAGATTTAAATAAAGAGAGATTTAAATACTTGTACAGATGCATGTCCGAATAAACCAATAGAAAAAATAAATACAGTGTGGCAATAAAGTCTGGAAACACCGAGATATTTACGAAACGGTCAATTTCCGAAAATAACGCTAAAACGCGTCAATTTAGATTTAAAATTTTTAAATTTTAGATTTTGTATAATGTAACTTATGATATTATTATACTGACCTGTCTATACTTATGCAGATTATTACAAAGGACGAAAGATAGAGGCCAAATATTCTGAAAAAAGCCATTATGCGGCACATCGCATCTCCCGCTTCCCACGATACTGTAGCTGCCCATCCGATCTCAAGCGGCATCATTAAGAATGTCACCTGGATAACGATTGTAATCGATATATTTTTTCCTCCGTAAGTTAAAACTCTTCACAACGGTAAAATTATGCTTTTGTAAGTTAATCACACTTTGTTGTTATACTTACGAGGAGGTCAGCGATCGACAAATGCATTATGAGGGTTTGTATTCGCGACTTGGCCTTTTGATTCTTTTTCATGGTTGTTATTAACACGGTAATATTTCCAGCGGCTGATATCATCATTAGGATGCTGTAAGTGACTATCGTCACTAGGTGACCGTCATTGAAGCGCATGTCAATCGGCAGCTCCGCGTAAGAAGTGGAGTTAAACTCGAGGGCTTCCCCGTCCTCGGTTTCGCTCAATTGAATGGTGTTCTCCATGTCTTCTTAAAAGCAGTATCTTTTTAAGTTGGTGATTCTATAGGAAAGAGAAAGGGAGTAATACGTGAGAAAACAAATGTGAGACTATATGATATTAAAATCGCGAGAGCCATTGTCTCGATAAAACTAATGAAACGTGTCTCAAAAGTAAAAATAAAAGCTTTGTTGTAAAAAATCAATATTTTGTCAAAATGTGAGCTGATTGCATTCACTCGTGCTTTACGTAAAAATCAAGAAGATTAATTTGTTCATCTGAAACTATCTTATTTGATCTGATAAAAAAAGGCTTTTTTTGTAATAAGTCTATTTTTTGCTTTTGTTTAAAATTTAAAAAACAGAAAAGATTTGGAAGACTATTCGATAGCGTAATGCAAATTTATTCGAGACACCTCACATCTACACTTTTAGTTCGGAAAGTTTGGGAAATAATAGATCGGGATAATGCATCTGTTTTGTTCGCGAGATGTTTCAGAGGAAGATACAACAATCTATGGCGGACAGATAGACGCCATTATCTTGACGAATTGTAACCATTTGCCATGGTTTATTTACGATTAGCGACGTAACCTTTAAACACAGCAGGCAGAATTACGTCCAAGGAGTTTTACGTTAAGAGACGACTTCCGATTATAAACGTAATTGAACAGAAAAATATTAAGATATATAAAGATTTTTAATATACTATTTCTTCAATTAATTATTATTTTTTTCTGTTCTTTATTTTATTAATAAACATAATTTAATTTAAAAAACAAAAATCTTTCAATCTTTTTTTAATTATCAATAAAAACCTATCAAAGTCAGAAAAAATAATATTAAAAAAAAAAATATAGAAGAAAAACTGAAGATAATGTAGAAGAAATACTAAGAAAGTTTTCAAGTCGCATAAAACACTTAGATATTTTTGTCTTACACGCAAAATGAAAGTTGAGACGGAATTGGCTGCACGTTGCAGTTCACGTGAAGCTTAAGATAACCACGAATGCAAACAAAGCACATAGAATGTATCGAGCGCAAAACAATACAGTTGCAAGTAATATTCTTCGATTGTAATCTATTCGCAATCGTTTTGTCTTCACGCGCCACTGATAACGCACCCTCGTTGCGCGGGGTGCGTTGTAATACTGATTCGATTTACGTCCCGCTAAACCTACCGAAGCTTGTCCGGCGCAGGTCCGAGTATGTCGTAGATGTTGACGCTCGAATTAGTCCAACCTTTTTGTGACTATCGTGGACCGCTCTGAGAATTGATTAAAGCGGTTGTTTTTCCAATAGAATTTCAAAGAGCAAAAAGATCGCGAAAAATTATCCTATCCGCCACGATTCCGCACTCTGTTGTGCGAATCTTCACATTATAATATCAACGTGGATCGCGTTCAAAGTACCAGCCTGACATCATGTGCTAAACATGCGCCATACACAGAAACACGGAACTAAACTTCGGCCCCAAGGCGCAAAGTGCATCGAGGGAACACGTTAAGATATCATACTAATGAAGCTGTTTTCTTCCAATTAACTGTCTGCAATAACTTCGTTTAATCACCCAAGTACGCGATATAATTTTTTGGGATTTGAGCGATAAATGTCAGTTTCATTATCATTAATTTATTGGTACTATGTTGCGAAAAAATGCAACAAAATCGTTAAAAAATAAAGGAGATTAGAGATAATATTATTTATACATTCGAGTAGGCTGGAAAGTTTTGACATAAAACTCAGACAAAGATGGATAACGCAGATAAATGCGGAAAAATTGCTAGTATAGTAAAAATCGGACGATTTGAAAAATACGACGCAGAATGTGTTTTGTGGGTATAATATGAAATGTTCGATGGAGAGATTTCAATATGCCGGGGGAAAATACGTCTCTACTACCGCCGATAATTGTCGTGATTCTTATCTGGTGCTCGTTATTTTCACAAAACACATCGCAGACGAATGCGAAAGCCGGCGGCGCCAACTGATTTGCTTCGATTTCGGTCAAATAATCATTTATGAAATTATTTCGTGGAGAAAGCGAACTCTCAGATGTTTCAGATGTAAAAAAAAAAGAACGTTTAGATTAGATTGGGACTAAAAGTTTCGTCTATATGAGATTACCAAGTATCACACAATCAGAAAACGAGTAAAAATAATTGACAGCTACAAACAGGATTATTTATTGATTTATAAAGGATTGTAACGCAAAATGTGTGCGTGACGTAAAATGCGCGTAGGGTTCTATTGAACGGAGTTGTTGATTATAGTTCAATTAAGAATCATCTTCTCTCGCACGGGCATATATCGACGTATTGATATAATGCAATTTGTCGAGCAATAAAACTTAATTAGTGTTCTGCGCATTTGAGACACATATCAAAATATAATATATAAATTATAAATTATCTCTAAATTCCAAAAATTGATTTACGTCATAAGAAGTAAGATAATTAAATTAAATCAAAGTGTCATCATCGTCTTTTAATTACGATAGAAAAATTGTATAAATAAATATATCTATATAAATAATTTTCTGTTATTCTTTTCACTCAAACAATAAATAACTTTGACCTATGAAAAAAAACGTCGATATCAACGATGTCTCTGCGGCGGTTCATCCTAACAAGAATGATGCTAGATAATGTTCCCACAACGTAAAAGCTATACGATTTACGACCTTACTTTCAACACTTCCTTTAGGGATATTTCTAACTTATAAAAGCAGCACTACTCATAGGAGAGCTTTCACATTCTATTTGCGAGATACAAGTTGCAAAAAGGTTGAAAGAAAAGTTGTGCGTGCATAAATCGTACCTTGTATAGGAAAGATAAAAATGATGAAATAAATTTTCTTACCTGATGCAATCTCTGAATCTTGATGCGTGAAGTGTGCTTCTTTTTAGTACTTATCGATTCTTGATGTTTTTAATCAGGTTCAAATTTTAAAATGTAAGTATTTTTCACAATTTTGTTTCACAATTTTTTATTATTTTACAACTCTCGGTTGAATCGCAAATATAAAATGAATTGACACACGTTGTATGTCAATGCTCGATAGATTTCGATATCGAAACAGAAATTTAGAAGTATAGTTTTATTGTGAAAATATGAATTTTTCCCATAAATATTTTTGTAAACAATCTTCTTGTTGGTCACTAAACACTGGAGACAACCGCGAGCGATCTCTGTGTGTATGTGTTCTTAATCCGTTTCCTTAGCTAGATTTATCGCGTAATGCTGGCACATATCGCTCAACAAAATGTCGAAAAAAAAGTCTCGTATCGCGGCGAGACGTAAAAAAGCGAGTTTATCGTTTATTTTCTACATTGAAATAACGGACGCGGTACAACAAATATGATTTCTCGAAATGCACGTGATCAGCGACGACCAAACAGCCGGAATTCAGTGCTACACAAATGCAATTAAGCGAACGATGATCGGCGAAAGACTGCGAATTCCGCGGAACGCTAGCGATTTACCCACCGACGCTTACATTCTTAGGCCGGAGTTAAGGGTCAAGTGTCAAATCGCCACTGATAGGACTGACGTGTCAGAGACAGTGTCGTTGGTCGAGCACACAGCCGGAGTGTGACCAGAAAGAAGATTCATGGCGGAAAGATCAACGTAAATGAACCGTACGCTAACCATTACATATCTACTTTTTAACCGATAGACTTATCATTTTCTTAACCGATCTTATATTATAAATATAAGATTTCGGTAATATTAAAGAGGAAGATAAACTTGCTACTTTATAATTATATTGCTAAATCTGTTTACAGAACACTTTGCATAATTAATTTATTTGTGTAAGATAATTAATTATACAGCAAACTCCTCAATTTTAAAAACTTAAGGCAAAGTTGAAGTTTAATTGAAAAGAGGATTCGCTATTTTATTGCAACACAAAAATATACACATGTACGCTTGATTTCATTATATATACTATAAATATATTCTATTATCAAGATAAATAAATACCTGGGCAAGAAGAGAAACATTTTGTTTGTTTCTGTATTTCCGTATTCAGCATCGAAAAAATGCGGAAGTTTATATCGCTTATATTTAATCCAACATATGAATCGTGAAGATGATATTTATTTGATAAGATCACTAGTTTTCCTCCTCTATTTTTCATCATACTTGACAATTGCAGTGTTTCAAAATCTTGCTCAATAACTTCCTGAAAATTGACATTATATTTGCAGTAATTAAAATTGCTTGCACAATAATTCATACGGTTCGAATAATTTGCTATTGAACGGCGGAGAATAATTATGCAGAGAATAATTATGTTCTCACCATGTTCTGGGAGTTAATTTCCTTAGTAGTATCCGCGCACATAACAGAAGACTTTTTAACATCGGTGAAAAATATTACACAATTTGCAGATGCTAATGCTGTTGTCTTGTCTGGTATCTCAAATGCCAGTTGAGTTAGCGCTTTTGTTTCACTTTGCGAACATCCCGCTATCTTTGATATTTCCATTTTGTATATCTTATTTCCCGCAAACGAAGCGTAGTATAAGTCTAAAATATAACAATGGCAAAGAATAATACCGAAGAACACAAGCAAGATGCTAAGAATTATTTATTTATTGCTAAGTCTATATAAATGTGATGACGATAAAAGAAATGGATAGAAATAGTATGATGCAATTGAAATCAGATAAAAAGTAACGCTCATTATGCAATGTACTAAGTCTATATAAAGACTGAAATAATCATTTTCTTAAAAGTGTACCTTTGTTTTGAACAACTGTCGTGCCGACGATACCGTCTTGCAGAGGATAAAATTGATTCCCCACATAATAACCGATACCAGTTGGTTTCATACTATCAGAATCGATTCTGCAGAATTTCGAAGTAGACGTGTTATATATCGCCATACCAAACCCGTCAGTGTCAGCCATAAACACCTGAGACATGATTTAATTGATGTAAGTTCATAATTGTCACTTGTCAATTTAAATTGCAAGGTATAACATAATTAAATATAATTAAAAAAAACGAATTAATGTGATTACAATAAAAATATGATATTTAGAAAATTATACTAACCACCGCGTTATCCTTTATATTTTCACAATGCGGCGCAAAAGCAGTAACTGTTGTTAAAAATCCTGTGCCATTTTTGTTATTAGCGATGTTGAGCGGAATAGTAACACTTTTAACTAGTTTATCAGTTGATAAGTCAAAGATTAAGAGTCGCGGAGGACAAATTTGTTCAAAATTATATATGCCGCTATCCATAACAAAAAGATGATTGCATTGAATCTGGGATCAAAATAAAAATTTAATTTTAGGTATTATTATTAGTATCAATATATGATAATTGATGCATGTAGATAAGATCAGCTAGCTTTATCCAGACAACAAGGAAAAAATTTAATGCCTGCGGTATTCTCCTGCTACTGACGTCAAAACGCGAGAAATTTGCATATGATTGACTGGGTACCAACTGACTAAAAAGCAAATATATATATATATTTTTTTATATATTGCTTACTTAATAATAAAATCTTCGGCAAGAAACGCCGCACAGTATTTTTCCTTGATGCTTCACTAAAGCTGATCCTATCTACGTACATTAATAACGACTTTAAAGTGATGCTAACAACTATTAATTTTCTAATCTCAAATACGTCAAAACGCATTCATTATCGTCAATTATTAGTAATAAATATAACAAATATACATGTGTGTAAATATAACAAATGTATGTGTGTACGCGAATGTTACGAATGTCATAATGGGCACTAGTTTCTGATATCACCTTCTTCGTAGGAAATATAATATAATTTTTATGTCTGTAGTAATAAAATAAACATTTAAAAAATACTGTTTTGTATGTGTACAATAGTGTGTTCGATAAACGCGTGTATTTAGCGACTTTTTTTACCTTTTTTATTATTACAAATAATTATACGAGTATGTAGATTAATGTGTTGTTGGCCATTTAAATGTAATGTATATAAATGTGAGATGTAATTATCAAATTTAAAAAATTTTAATGCTTACATGTATTCCACAAACAACTCCTGGAATGCCGTCGCAGCCGTCCATTGGAAGCGTCCTGTACCAGGACCAATCTGGATATGGACGCAAAAGAGGACCTCCTTCTTCTTCTTGATCAGTTACTGTCAGTATGCTTACCGGTGTACCCTCTTCTCTTAATGCGGTGAGGAATATTCTACCATCTACAAGAATTTTATAAATAATACTTAATATAAAATTTATTTATTGCAAACACATTGCAAATTTATTGCAACAATAATGTTATATGTTTAATAATGTGTTAAAAAATGTGTAATAATTCTAGGTGGTCAAATATTAATTATGTTAGCACATTGATAATAAATTTGATTAAATTTGCTGTCTACTTGCCAACATTGCTAATTTTTTACTTACTGGAAATATAGATAATGATAACGCTGAACACACTAATATAACACAATAACACACTAATACACTTTTGCATTTACAGATACTTATATTTCTATATAAAGTTACAAATCTTTGAACAATTTGAGCCTACCTGGTGCCGCATCAACGTCGAAGAGAAACATCAAGCTAGTTATACGCGCCGGAATCTATCGCTCGCTGCTTTTGCTGCGGACTTTCCCAAAGAAGATCGGCGTATTTCCATTTGTGTTCGAGGACCAATTTACCAAAACTCATAATTATTATCGACAGATTTAATACAATGAGTAGAAAATATCGCATTTTGAACAGCAAATAGCGAATAAATATAAATATATTACATATAATAAAATATCGTAACTAAAGATTACGCCGTAAATACGTATTTCGCAAACGCTAATGCGTTAATGATACTACTTGCATACTTAGCCAGTATCTATAATATAATTTCAGCTCGATACATATTGAAATCCAGTAAAATATTCTCATTATGTAATCAATAATTATAGTCCTATCACATTATCCCAGATCGATAATTGAGAGTCGTTGAACTCAGAATTATTGATAATGCTATAGGTGCATGCTATAGGTGTACGTGATATACATATTATCTTGTCAACAATACTTTGAGAAAAGGAAATAATAAGATTACTATTTATTACATAATAACTTTATTAACCTCTCGCTTCTTCATTTTTTTACACTTGTAAAATGAATCGCGTACTGAATTGACAAGTAGAAAATAGGTCATAGACAAAATTTACATATTGTTTATATACAGCTGTCTATACATTATTACGTCATCACTAATTAATATCTTGCAGGAAACAAAACAATTTGTCTTTTTCTGTATGTTCGTATTGTTCGTTGAGAGAAAACGGAAGTTTATTTTATTTGTATTTAAGGTAGAATGTAGATGATGTTGATATCTGTTTGATAAGATCACTAGTTCACCTCCTCTATTTTTCAACCTACTTGGAAATTGCAGTGTTTCAAAATCTTGCTCAACAATTTCCTCATGATTGTTATTATTCCCCTTAAATTGCGAGCGGATTTTAAAGTATAGATTACATATATAATAACTTTTCATGCAAAAATAAGAAGCTTTTGCGTATAAAGGTATTTGTATATCAGAGCACTGTTAAATCCTTATACAATATCAGCTTACCGGGTCTTACATCGACATCAAATAAGTACATCAAGCTGTCGTTATATTTGCCGGCATATATCGCTTCTTGCTTCTGCTCTGAACTTTCCCAAAGTAGATCAGCATATTTCTATTTGTACTTAAGAAGTAACTCGTTAAAACTTTTATCTGTCATCGACAATATTAACACAGTAAAAAAAAAATACTTTATTTTTAGCGAACAAACAACTAAAAAGTAGGGGAAGGTGGGGTAAGACGGACCCCCTAAGCAAAAATGGCTATATTTTTTATATTAATGACAAAAATAACTGAAATTTAGCATGAAGAAACTGTAGAATGTTTATTATAAGATTATAATGTTAAATTTTCAAAATTTGCAAAAGTTTGAATTATTATTAAGATTTTAAAACTTAATT